ACAGAAGGGAATGGAAAGGAAGAGAGGGGAGGGGAGGGGAGGGGAGGAGAGGAGATGAAAGAAAGAAAGAAAGAAAGAAAGAAAGAAAGAAAGAAAGAAAAGAAAGGAAGGAAGGAAGGAAGGAAGGAAGGAAGGAAGGAAGGAAGGAAGGAAGGAAGGAAGGAAGGAAGGAAGGAAGGAAGGAAAGGGCTGCCTGGAGCATTTGGATGTTGCAGTCCAACACAATCATCACCATCATCATCATCTTAAAACTTCAAAGTTGAAAGGGACCTTATGAATCCTTGAGTCCAGCCCCTGTCCATGTTTCCGAGTTCTGAGTCTACCCCTACTTTTCCCCCCCGATTTTCCAAATAAATTACAAATCGTAAGCCTCTGCCTACGTGCCTAATAAAAGAGAAACTCAGACATGTACAGTTAGGGCTGGCGTTAAGTAGACCTGCTCGCTAGACATCTGCCAGATTGGCTAAGAATTTCAGCTGCCAGTAGAAACAAACAAAAAAAGGAGAGCAAAAGTGGAACAACGCAATCCTTGGATGCGTTTATGATCTGCCCTTTGGTAGGGCATATGATTAAAACAAACACTATAGAACGGCTTTAATGGTGCTGGCAGCACATAGCCGCCCCTGTTATGGTTACCTGCCATGGGTGAAGGCTGGGAGGGGGGATTTCAGAATGAGGGTGAAAATCCTCTGCTTTTGGTTTTAATTTTTTTTAAGCCCCAACTTTGCTCCAAGAATCGAAGTGATCTCTTTAATGTCACCTCTAAGCTAAACCTGCTTCCTTATTATGTACATACCATGAGTACCTGTATTATCCGGCTCCCATCTATCGTAGGTCATTAACTCCACCGTTATTCTGCCGAGTATGTTCCAGGAGGCTTTGATAAATCATATACGTATATTTGCCCACTCAAACAGCAACATTTTGGGCATCCATCCATGCAGCGCTGTTGATGGTGAAATACTGACAGACGTTGGAGCTGAAAAAGGCTAAGCATGCCTTGGAAAAATAATGTGCTCATTGAAGGTTATAATCAGGTCTAGATCTTGAGTAATTCATTAACACACCAATTTTTTTTTTTTAAAAAAAAACCAGCTTGCCTCATTAACCAGGAAGCTTGGGGTGGCTCTGTGCAGAAATTCCACATGCTGAAAATGAGAGAAGTTAGATTTGCACTTACTGGAGCTGCAGAGCTGTTCCGTGCAAGCCATTAGATTGATTGATTTTAAGACTTATTGATCCATTCCCCAAAGGTGTTCAGCTAATCAGGTGCCAGACTCAAACGCATACACAGAAATTTTCATCAAGCAGCTTGCAAAAACTGTAGCCAGGAATCGCTTTCCTTTTCCCTTCACAGAAATGGAAATACTTATGGGCATCTCATTACCTAGATGGAACACCTCTTCCTCCTCCGGTCCTCATCCTGAAAAGACCCAGCGCCAACACGGGCTACGGGTAAGATCCAGGGCAGTCAGACGCAACCTGGATTGAGCCACATCCCTCTCGCCCTCCACCTCCGCCCCACAGCGGCCCTTCCTTTCCACCCGTCCTGCTGCCTGAAGAGCGTCTGATGCCAGCGGTGCCCCTGCGCCTGGCGGAAGGCCCAGGAGATACCCATCATGTTGGCTGTTCGTTTTCAATGAATCATAGGGACAAATCTGTGAGAGGCACAGTAATGTTCGCTAGGATCAGAGCTTGGAAAGGTCACTTGGAGGGGGGCTGCAGATCTCACCACCGGACAGCTAGCCTATCCCTGTGGCCATGCTGCCCAGGGCATTCTGGGTGCTGTAGTCCAAAATCAGTACATGTCCAAAGCTTCAACGGGAAGTTTTCCCACAGTCTGCACCACAGCAGAAAAATGTTACCTTATTTTCGATTCTTACTCCCTAGAATTGCCATGCCAGCCAGGCCACTTCGGCCTCCTGCGTGGTATAGCCCTCCTCCCACGAAAGGGATTGGAGAGAAGCTTTGGAATTTCTGCTGTCAAGCGCTATAGCGCTATGCTCTAGAGAAAGAAAGGCAGGCTTTGGTTATTATTCCTTTATTTATTCAATTCATATACCGCTCCCATTAGTGCCGAGGCACTAATCTGGGCGATTTACAATAAATATAGTAGAAGACCAGAAGTGAAGATAAAAACACTCAAAGCAATTAGCCAATTGCCATTAAAGGAAAGTGGCACAAACCAATCATACAGAAATCAAGGTGGATGAAAAAACGAAAAATGGGCAGTCAGACAGGGTCTGTGTGGAAAGCCTCCCCAAAGAGCCACGTCTTTAGTGGCCTCCTAAATATCCACAGGGAGAAGAGCTACGCGAAGCTCCTCAAGAATCTGGCTCCACAAGGTCAGGGCCACTGCAAAGAAGACCCTGTCTCTTGTAGAAGGCTTACGTTGCCTCCCTCAGGGAGGCAACCCGGAGGGGCCTCACCTGAGATGATCATGTGGGTCCTGGAAGGTGACACTGGGGAAAAGAGGCTCTGACGGGTAACGTGGTGCGTTGCCCTTGAGGAAGAAGGCCAAAGTCCTTTGCTAACCCATTAGAGGAATGATAAGGGGAAACAGGTTTGACCAAAAGGCAAAGGAAATTAAACGATGCCCGCTCAGATGAGCCCAGAGACCTGCCATCTGTTTTGGCTGCCAGTTGTTTCCAGGAAGGCCACAAGCAGGATTTGAAGATAAGAACTCTTTATGGGTGTCCCTGTTGATTGTGTATCCAACAACAGGGAGTGAACGTACATGCCACTCCTTCTAGCAAAGCCACAAATTGGTCCGCATGCAGTCACCAAGAAGGTGCGGAGTGGTCTCATTGCATTTCTGAGCTGCTCTCATCATAAGACAGGGGTTAGAGCAATGGGTCAGAAGTCAGAACTTGGGCTTTTAGCTTCTCTTCCCCCCCCCCCCAATCAAAGCTGTTATAATAACAGGAACATTTCGAAGTTGCTGCTAGGGTCAGCCTGGGTTGGAAGCAATTGGATAGCACAGAACAAACCGCCACCCAACAGCCCTTCCACTGAGCCATGAAACTCTTCGAGTGACCTTGGGCCAGTCACACTTTCTGATCCTGACCTACTTCGCAGGGTTATTGGGAGGATAAATGGAGCGGTTGAGCCCTTTATTATGCTGTTGAGCTCATTGGAAGAACAGTGGGACTGAAATATAACGAATGCTAAAGTAATGCAAATTAAGACAAGTTCTAAGTGTGAGCCTCCGCTAGAGTAGACCCAGTGAATAGATTTCTGAATGGTAAGCTGATACTTAAATAGAGCCCATGATTCCGTGGATCTGCTCTAGGTGGGACCAGGGATGAAAACCTGTGTCACGGAATTCGCTGTCAAGTTGGATTGAAGTCGCACTGGTGACTCAACCTGGGTTCCCCCCCCAAAAAAATAATTTGGACTCAAGTCACAACTCAGAACACACCCACCCCTCCTTTTTTTTCTTGGTGAAAAATTTATTTTTAATAGGGATTTGAACTTGGGACTTGAGACTCGGGACTTGGTACCAAAGCCTCAGAGTCAGAGTTGGGAGTCGGGCCTAAAGACTTGGCCAACATCCCTGGTTGAGACTAGCAGCTGGATATAGCGCTAAACATTCCCCCTCACATTTGTAGCTGGTTGCTTCTTGCCCACCGGCAGTGCTCAGAAAACCTGGGGTGGCCAATCCCTCTCCTAGAGAAAATACGATTGCACGTTGGCAGGGAGGATGTACACATTCATTCCTTGAGCATCACTATGGGTGCATTGGTGCATGTGACCTTTCGCACCTGGGTGAGATGGCTGAATTACACTTCATGGAACTTTTCTTTTCTTTTGGCAGAGGCTGACAAGTCTGTCACTCCTGGCCAAGTGAATATGGAGGTTGTGCTTCCTGAGAACTTTGTTTGCTTGCTTGCTTTATATATGCTTTATTTATAAGTGTTATTTATAGGCTCACGAGAACTTTGAGTGGTCGGGCGAGATTCTGATGCCTTGGAGATGCTGCGGGTGCAAAGAAAGAAGAAAGCAGCAGAAGGAGGAGAACTGTGTGGCCGAGGCTATGGTTAAAAGCCAAAGCAGAACATAAGATCCTGATACCGTCCGGAAACCGAGAAGAGATGGAGGAAGAAGGTTCTCCCCAGCAACTGCCCAGGCTGAGTAGGGCAGTAAACCTTGGAGTTCTATTATATACAAGGCAGTAGCATAGGATCGGTCTCTGACTCCTGAGACCTGGCGCCTAATGCTTTGCTTCCTTCTCAGAGTTGTGTCGTAGGGATAGACGAGGTGCCATGTCATTGACTGCATGAAAAGATTTCTCGCCACAGATTCATGGTGTGTGCCACATTTGACTTCAAGGTATGTGAGATATTAAAGGAGTGGCGGCCACAGATTCACAGTGTGTGCCATATTTGACTTATAGCCACCCTAATAATGTTTTTCAAGGTATGTGAGATATTAAAGGAGTGGTTTTACCATGATGGCACACCCTTCTGCAAATTTCCGTGGCCGAGCAGGGATTCGAACCCGGGTCTCCTAAGTCCTAGTCCATGACAGTGATGAAATCACGTTCTTCCGCCTTCAGCTCCTGATCTGGCTATGGGAGTAATAAGAGCCAGTTCAGCAGACATTTGCCACAAGTTGCCAAGTGCATCGTTGACTCCATGAGGTCTAGAAACACTTGAAATGAAAAGAGAGAGTCACACTGGTGACTCAACCTGGGTCCCTTGGATTCTACAGACATCCCCTCCTCCTCCTTTCACCATGCTCACCACACCTGCATCTACCAGAAATTCAGGTTACCTGTCAAAGGTCACCTGGAGGCGAATGCACAGGGCGAAACTTCCTCTTTTCGGCTTCATGCGTTATTTCTCCATCCGTTTGCTACGAACGGTTGCGACACCTCCAGGGGTGGGTGGGTGGGTGACGAGACTCCACCGGCAGCCAAGCCTCTTCCAGCTCCTCCCAGCCTGGACTGTACCTGTCCCAGCCGCTCTCAGGTTACATTTGCATGCCATCCAGATAGGAGGAAGGAGCGAACCCAGGGAGAGAGGCCACTCCGGCGCTGAAGCACCTGCTGCCTCGGAGGAGATGCTCTCGCCCGCCGGGGACCTTTGAGTCAGCTCTCTGTTGACTCAGCCGTAAGCAGACCTCGGGAGCCCAAAGAAGCTGAAGGTGAAAGTTTCTCCTCCACCTCCTGCAGCGGAAAAAGAAAATGCATTTCTCAGAAAGGAGGCTCTTCACCCAGATGTCCCGTTTCCTGGCACTGGGCTTCTTGATGCTGTTTGCCACGGTGGTGCTGAAATACACCCGCTGGGAGTGCGAGTTCAGCCACCTGGGCGAAGACACGGCGGATCCTAGAAGCCAGTCCTGCAAGGACAGGCTGTACCAGACCCTCAGCCTTTCCCCCAACCAAGGGGGCCTCAACTGTTCTCGGGTCACCCGGGGGGACCCGGATGCCGTGGAGGAGGCGCTGCTGAGCAGGCTGCGCCGTGAAAACAGGAGGGAGCCTTTAAAGGAGAAAGACTACCTGAACATGACGAAGGACTGCAGGCTGTTCAAAGAAAGCAGGAAATTCATCCCGTTCCCGCTGAGCAAAGAGGAGGAGGACTTCCCCATCGCTTATTCCATGGTGGTCCACGAAAAGATAGAGATGTTCGAGAGGCTCTTAAGGGCCATCTATGCCCCCCAGAACATCTACTGCGTCCACGTGGACAAGAAGTCACCCAAAGCCTTCCAAGAAGCGGTCCAGGCCATCGCCTCCTGCTTTGAGAACGTCTTTCTGGCCTCCAGACAGGAGACGGTGGTGTACGCCTCTTGGTCCCGGGTGCAAGCGGATCTGAACTGCATGGAAGACCTCCTTCGGAGCAACGTCCCCTGGAAGTACCTCCTGAATACCTGCGGGACCGACTTTCCCATCAAGACCAACGCAGAGATCGTCCAAAGGCTAAAACTTTTGAAGGGGAGGAACAACATGGAGTCAGAGAGGCCATCGACAGGGAAGCAGAACCGCTGGAAATATCACCACGACGTGACGGATTCCGTGGTCCAAAGCGCCACAGAGAAGAGGCCCCCACCTCAGAGCTCCCCCATGTTCACCGGGAACGCCTACATCGTGGTCACCAGGGAGTTCGTCCAACATCTTTTCGAAGACCCGACAGCAAAACAGCTCCTGGAGTGGTGCAAAGACACTTACAGTCCGGATGAACACCTGTGGGCTACTTTACATCGGATGCCCGGAGTTCCAGGATCAGTCCCTTTCAATGCCAAATTTGACCTCACAGACATGAACGCCATTGCCAGGTTGGTGAAGTGGGTTTACAGCGAAGGAGACGTCAGCAAGGGGGCCCCGTATCCCCCCTGCACGGGGGTCTCCCAGCGGGCGGTCTGCGTCTACGGGGTAGGGGACCTCCACTGGATGCTCGCTCAGCACCACCTCTTTGCTAACAAGTTCGATCCCCAGGTCGACAACAACGCCATCCTGTGCCTGGAAGAGTATCTGCGCCACAAGTCAATCTACGGGAAGGACCTCTGAAGGATCCGGGGGGGCCCTTCCCAAAGGGGGAACGCAACGGAGCTGGCGAGCAGGCATCCTGCATCGCACAAAGGCTATAGACCTTGTAGTATTTCTGACGAACTGCAAAGCCAGAAAGGTCTCCTTCTCGAGGAGACCCAAACTCCAGCAATTTTGCAAATGGAGAGGTAGGGAGATGGCCTCGGTCCCTGGGGTGGAGGAAGGAAAGTGACTTATGGACTGGATTGTGCCCCAGCTTTTTCAAAACCTGCAGGGACGGCCACCTTTCTTAGACATTTTCCTACCTTACGTGTTTGCCTGCAAGAGACAAAAAACCCTCCAGTTCAGAAGTGGTTTATTTTTCTAAGAGTTTTTATTTTTATTTTAAAGAAGGCATGTGAAGGGAGAAGTGTGTGTTTTGTTGTTCCTTGAGTTTCTCTGACTTAATTCCCCTGCCACCCTGTATGATTTATGCCTAAATGCCAGGCATTGTGCATCAACACAGATGACGTAAGAAGGGGAAGCTGTGATAACCATCGTTTGGCAGCGCCAGGTTGACGATTTGGCCATGGGCCCCATTTCTTCATCCGTCCCCAGACGGGTTTGTGTAAATTACGGCAAGCCCAACCTTATTTGTCTCTCTCTCTAGCTTATTTCTCAATACTGGAATAGAATTCCACTCTCCCCTTTTCTTGAGTGGAAAGTTCAACAGTAGGTTTATTTTTTTTACAGCGCCATCTTTCCTTACGGAAAGAAGAAACCAGAAAGGCTGTAAACCCCACTTTCAAAAGAAAGGAGAGAAAGCGGCTCAGATTTTTATTGCTAAATGTAGGGCACCGTCCCTCCCCATCGGCCTGCGAGAACTCATAGGTCTTCCTTCCTGGCCGTACTCCAACTTACTCAAGGCCTTGCTTTGCAGCTCCCGCTCCGGCAACAGGGGGAAGGGTTAGGCCCCGAGTCGCCACCCGCTCATCCATTGAAGAAACCCGCTCAGAGTCCTCCTTTGGGGAAGCAGGTTTCCCCAATGAGCAAGCCGAGAAAAAGGGGGCGGGCTGTAGGTAGCAAAGCTCTTTGCCACCCCTGCATCTCCATGATGGAAAGATAAAAAAATTGGTAACTGTTGGGCTGGGACACGTAACAACATCCTTTCCAGGTGGGTAGTGCTGGGAAAAGTTCCTCTCTTTTTTGGCCATGACTGCTGGACTCTCTCCACCAACGTGGACGGGCTGCTACACAAGAGGCAGGACGGAGTCATCGGGTAAGGGAGAGAAAGGGGTGCAAAGGAAAGACGGTCTTTGGCTTGCACAGTCGGAGTGACTTCATGTTTAATTTTAAAAGGCTGAAACACTGCCTGTAGCCTCTCCTGTCTCAAGTGCCCTGGACTTTCTAAAATGGCTCACGAGATGAGTAACGGAAACTCATAGGCCAGGCTATGAACGGCATCGAGCCTTGTTATTCTGAGGGGGCCCGTCTCACCCATAACAATTCCCCCCCACGCCCCCGGCTGTTATAATAACAATCTCAGAAGGGCAGAGCTGGAAGGGACCCCCCTGGATCCTGGCGTCCTGCTCCTGACAAGGAGGCACAGCAGGGAACTGAGCTCCCAACCTCAGGCTCCCCGGTCAGGTGCCTCAGCCTCCAAGCTACCCAGGTTGTGAGCCTTGGACTTTGAGGTCAGCAGGCCAACAGATGCCTCGCTTTTCTGACCTAGCTGTTTGCCAAAGTCCTGGAGAGAGAGAGAGAGAGAGAGAGAGAGAGAGGAAGCCAGCTACAGCAGCCAGGGCGCGGCAGTGGAGACAGCGCTAGACGCAGGTTCAAATCCTCGTTTGGCCGCAGGAATTCACTGGGGGGATGGCAGTCAGAAAGCCCACTCCTTGAACATCTCCATCTCAGAGACGTAAAAAACCCTGTCCAGGCCACGCTAAAAGGCAAGGGACTTGGGAGCACAGACCAAGCCATAAATCTAAGTATGCACATTTATCTAGGGGCATCGGCTGACGGTGCTCTACTCTTTTTTAATCCTTCCTTGGCGATTTTATGTGAGGTACAACATATTCTCAAGAGATGAGTTTGCTCAGCTGCCTCTCCTTCCACCCCCCGTCATTGTGTGATACTACCAGTGTTTTATTTATGAACTGTGTGTGTTTGTTTGTAAAGATGACGCAATGCTACTGCTAACCATTCAAAAATAAAATGGAACAACCCACTTCCCTCTGGTTCGCCTTTCGGTGGTCACGCTCAGCGAGTGCTGCAAAGGAAGGAGGCTCACTATGCCAGGGACCATTTCTCCTGACGTTCGCCACATCGAGCATTGCGCCGGCGGGTTTCCAATCACAAGTGGTCAGGGTAGCAACAGGCATTTCCACCCTGTCCCTTGTCCCTCTCTCTCTAAGGGTGTGGCTTTTTTTTGATCTTCCCAAGCAGACTGTTGGCCAACGCACCCGTCCGCATTTTGTTGGCTCGCATGCAGACATTTTCTCACCCTTTCTGTGCAGATTTCGAGCCTCTTCCCTGTTAAAACCATGGCTGCCTGCAGTTTTTGCAGTGAGGACATAACAGCTCAGTCAGAGCGGAGAAAAGCAAGGCAGTCATAAACCAGGGATTGATGCCATAAAAGGTATATACTTGAGATGGCTCATGGAATCCAAGCAAATATGCCAGTGCCAGTTTTGGTCCCAAGACTCCAAGAGGCTTTTTGCATTCTGTAGGGCCGGGCACACTTGTTGTGTGCTCCTCTTTCCAGGCATAGGTTCTCATCTCCTCTCCTTTGCATTGGGCTTACAGAAAGCTCCACGCATGGCACTCAGGTGCCGGGGAGAGAACTCCAAGCTTGCCTTCACATATTTGCCTTTCCTTGTTAAAGATCAGGAAGGTTTGCAGGGTGTAGACAGATTGGTAGATGACCCATCTAAAGAGGAAGGTTACCTAGTCAAAGAATAAATCCTTTGGCTTATTCTTCACCGCCTCTCATTGTTTTCTAGGCACACATAATCATCCTGCCTCAACTGCAGACTTTTCCAGGAGGAGGAGACCAAGTTGCCTCCTGCGTGCTCCCACCATTTTCTACCAACTTTCCCCCTTTTTCCACAAAGCAAGCTGTTAGGAAATAAAAGACGGCATGTCTTCGGACTGGCGACGCCAAGAGGGGTTCTCCAGAAGCATCTTCTCTTCCCTCGTTGTTTTGATTCGACTCCGGAGGGCAGAGAAGATGAAATGAGTCATAAAAGTATTCTGCAGAGCAGAAAATAATAGATAATTCAATCCAATGAGTAAGATTCCATCACTGTGGGTGTAACCTGTTGCAAAACGGTAACTCCTGGTGATGAACGCATGCGTCAAAGATCCATAAACGCCCAAGAAAGGAGAAACAGGTCACTCCCGGAGTTTGCTGAGACCAGGTTTTGCAGAATAAAGGTTCTTTCACATGAAAACTCTTCTTCAAACACTTGCAGTTTGGGAAGGAAGTAGAACAGAAGGCCCCTGTTTTCTTTTTCTTTCTTCCAAAGCAAAGCAAAAGAAAGCTCCCTGCTTCTACATGGCCCCATAATGCTTAAAGCTCTCTCTCCAAGTGGTTTACAACATAAATATGCAGGCTACACATTGCCCTCCTTGCTCTGCGTCTTCATGTTCAGTTTACCGACCTCGAAAGGACAGAAGGCTGAGTCAACCTCGAACCAGCGACCTGCGCCCATCGGGTTGTGAGAAGAGCCTCCACTGCTGCACAAGCACTTTAACCACACTGCGCCACAAGCTACGGCTTATCTCCCCCCCAAATCCCTGAACACCATATTTAGCAATGCATTTTTTTCTCTCTAGGCTTTTCAATTTACGTTCACCTTTTAAAAAAAAAAAAAGTAGGAGGAGAGAATGCTTTCTGATGTGGCAAGAGACAACTCCCTCTTTAGAAAAGAGGAAAATAGAATTAACTCAACAGTACAGTGGAAGAGTTACAGCATCCTCCCCACCCATCCTGAGGTGGTTTCCAGGTATGAAGGCAATTATTAATAATACAACACAATTTTTAACATTCTGTTTAACAAGGTGGCCACCTTTCCCATCCATGTAAGTTCCTCAAGGGAGGTTGAAAGAACAGAAGAAGCGCCTTGCTGGATCAGGCCAATGGCTTATCTAGTCCAGTTTCCTGTATCTCACAGTGGCCCCAACCCGATGCATCTTGGAGCACACGAGACGAGACACTTCATCCTTCCTCCCCAAGATTAACATGAAAGTGTTCGGAGTCTGGTTTTCTTGCCCACTGTTGATATAGTGGACACCCAGCGTGATGTAGTGGAATAGAGTGATGTACCAGGCCTCGGAGGACTGAGTTCAAATCAATGCGGAAGTGGAACTAGTAAAACCACTCCTTAAATATCTCGCTTTCCTCCAAAGCCCTATCAGGGCCACTATAGGTTGGTTTCAACTTGACAGCACAGAACAATTCATGCATGACCAGAACTGAATAAACCTGTTCTGGGGAGTACAATAGCCAGAAACAGATTTTGGAGTTTGCAGTTTAAAAAAAGTAACTTTTCTAAGCATTGCACACGCCGTGCTTCTTCTGAGCTGCCATATTTATAAAGTTAATTTTTTTTGAAAGCTTTGAAAATGTTTTAAAATTGTTTTTAATCTTGATAGATGCTTAATCTCTCACATATATGGTGCTCTCCCTCCTCTCGTTGGAGTTCTCTCCACACCAACACGCATTTGGTGTCCACAACCTTAGTTGCTTTCCATTTATGAAACAAATCACGCCACGTGCATAGTGTGTGGTCCAAAGCACATGTTTCACAGAGCCAGCCAAGTGTTGGTCTACGCCTGGAGAAAACCCAGTTTCAAAGCCCCGAGAGGCTATGAAGCTCCTCGTGGGCTGATGTTGGGCCAGACATACTTGCGGCAGAAACAGACCCCCATGTGGCCAACTTGATCTTGTTAAAAGAAAAACAGGAGTAGAAACGCACCTAATCAGCAGAAATGTTGGCAAGTCTTTGAGTCCAAGTCCCGAGTCCAAGTCTTTGGCACCAAGTCCCAAGTCCAAGTCCCTATTACAAACAAGCTTCCCCATCCCACCCCACACAAAAAAAGTAGGGGTGGGTGGGGTCTGAGTCACACATCAAGTCCGACTTGGCAGTAAGCTCTGCAACTCAAGTCCCCATCCCTGCTCATCAGTCATGAATGGGTACCGGATTCAAAGCATCCTTCACTCCACAGAGCAACAGGGATCTTCTATAAAAGTTGCCCCTTAGGATGCGTTTGCAAGAACTGAGCTTTTAGCTGGCTGCTGCAAAGGCAGGCTATACATGTAATTTGAAAAACACCATGGTGCAGAACAGAACACCACGTGGAGAAGTCAGTTTATAGGTTTATCCATCACTAGGAAGGTGATAAGTTAGTGAAGAGCAATGTATGGTGTGACACAGGACTAGAAGAAGAGAGTTCAAGTCCCCTCTTGGCCCCACAGAAATTCAGGGGGTAGGGATGGTAAAACCACTCGTTAAATATCTCACATACTTTGAAAACCCCATAGGGGTCACCATAAATCATACAGTATATGACTTCACAGGACAACGTAAGAAACAAGGAAAGTGATGGGCCTTCTTTATACTCTATGGTTCATCAGCTGGCTGCTCTTTCTCCGCACGAGTAGGGAGATATGATGAGGGATATATTTGGTCCTGATTGGTTTAAATCAAAGCCCAGAAAAGCTATTTTTTGGACTACATACCCAGAACCTCCCGGGCACACTAGCTAGGGGATTCCGGACTGGTAGATACAGAGAATTAACATGGGAAGGGCAGGGGCTCTCCAGAAGCTAAGTCAGTCACCACTCTTGTATTAACCAGGAACTGCAGTTGCACATGTCAAAATACATTGATATACATTTACTGTACAACGTTGAAAGGTAACTGTCATTGTGGGACCTCATGCATGTTTCTTGATGCCTCTGTTGCTATGTAAGCATGCAGCTGGCCAACACAGAACACCTTCGTAACACTCAAATAATCAACTGATCTCTAAAGTCAATGTTTATTTTACATGATATATTTGTAAGACGTAGACAGCCGAGGAAGTATTCTCATTGACTGGAATTCCCTACGAGAGCTATCAAAGGCAGTCAGCATTAGGCAACATTTATCAGTGTCAAGTTTTTCCGAAGTATCGAAAAGTAAGCTTGCATATGATATGCTCGAGAGCAAACTCAGTGAAGCTGAGCTGTAGCACCACGCGCACTTTAGCGCTGCATTAGGTCGGTTTACTCTTCCAGTTGTCAGATGCACTTGTATCACTGTGACGCTGGGGTCACATTGCTTCTTACTTTCTGGTCTCTTTTTAAAGAGTAACTCCAAAGAAATAAATGCATACACAAAATCCAACCGTATTAAGGACTAATGTTACTATTACCGTAACAATATACTTGTATGTCACCTTCACCTTCTATGACACACGGGCAGTTAACCCCCAGACTTTGACCCCACGGGAATTAACCGTGGGAGTTCATAAGAGTATTCAGACACCCAGCTGACTGGAATGGCCATTCAACTCCTTGCCCTTCTAAATTATAATCAGTCAACCATTACTGAAGTTGCAGAGGGCTTTCTCAGCTGGACTGCTCCAGCTGCAAAATGAAACCTGACATATTTATTTTTGTCCCACCTTTCTCCTTAAAAAGGACGCAGGGCGGCTCAAGACATACACAGATACGCTATTTTCTTTTGGTGCCCCATTAAAACCCTGCTGTTCACATGACCAAATGGGGACTTACGAGATCACAGCTTGATATCCCATCTATCTGACAGTGGGTTTCCTTTTTCGTTGGCTACTGCACTGTTTTAAATGATTCTAAGCCTCATGGTGCAGTGGTTAAACTGCTGCACTTCAGGCAAAACTGTGTTCACGACCCGGGGTTCAATCCCAGGTAGCCGGCTCAAGGTTGACTCAGCCTTTTATCCTTCCGAGGTTGGTAAAATGAGTACCCAGCTCGCTGGAGGAGGGCAATGTCTACCTTGCATAATTAAATTTGTAAACTGCCCAGAGAGTGCTTGAAGCACTGTGGGGCGGTATATAAGCAGCACACTTTGCTTTGCTTTAAAGGGATTTCACTGACTGTATACCGCCTTGAGATCTCCTGATATGAAGGGAGGATAAAAGTTGATTTCAAATTAACCTCGACCATGCCAGCCTCCAGGTGCTGTCGTCTTGCTGAGTTTTCACCCTTTCAGGGGCCATGGCCAGCACTTTGGATGGGAAGGGCTTGGCTTGTCCGACCCCCTTCATTCACTTGATCCTGATGCCCTTTCTGAGCAATTCCGAAATTGAATCACATGCATGAGCACGGGGACCAGAGGGCCACCTTTCCCTTACCACTCTGCACAAATATCGACACCCAAAGAGGGTTCCAGATAGTAGAGAAGTGTACTTTTGCCCTCCGTGCTGGATCTAATACACTGCGTCTGCCTCGGCTGATAGCTTAAGGATTCAAGGAGACTAAAAGTCCAAAATAAGTGTAATTTCCCCCCAAGCCTCTAGTTACAAGGACAAGACACTTCACCAGGTTTTTAAGATTGCACTAAATTCTGAGTGTTGCTGGAGGACTGAGCTTGCACTAAATCTTCCACTTGGTTTAAGTGAAGTTCCTGAGATTTTGCAGGCTGCCATGAAAGCAGAAAGCCGCGACAGCCAACGGTCTTTTTGATTTTCAGCCTAAACACGGGTCACTTCACTGAAGCGAAACCAAGACACCTCAGAACAAAAGCTTAGAGAACAAACACCAGCGGAATGCAGTTTGTTCACTTGGCCATTTCCTGCAGAAAGGAGATCCAGGAGGCCGCAGAGGGACAGGTCCAGGTAGGGTCAGGTAAATGGTATGGCACAAACACCTGCAGTGTATTTAGTGTCACTGAGTTTTTAAATGGAGGAGACAGATGACTCGGAAACAAAGCCGCAGGGCAGTCTGGAACTATCGTGAGACGCCTCTCCCAGCCGGCCTGCCTACAGGTCTGCTTGTCCAAAAAACAAAAGCAACCAGGTAAAAACAAAATGAAAATAAAACAACAAATAAAAAAGACCAACATGTGGTGGCACCGTTAGATTTTTTTCATGGACAAGTCCACAGAACCTCGTATAAAAAAATTATAAAGTTTGTCTTGAAGGTACCACCAAGTTTTGGTCTTTTTTTTCTCTTTCGTATAATGCTGGCATTGAGCACCACAGCTACCTCCTTCTACATCTAAAACCAACCCAGTCCGTGACCAACAAGGCAAAGGATCGACTGAGGTGGTAGTGCCGGATGGAAAGGGCATCGGAACCAATGAAGAGTCCCACCTTTTAGAAGGAAATAAGACGATCCCTCTTTTGTGGCAGCTGGTTTTTCAATTTGCATATATTTATCCAGGTAAAATCATTCTGAAGCCTGTCTTTTTGAAATCAGGTGGACAACTTTAGAGGACATACAGCTGTTTTCCACGACCCGCTCTCCCAAAATGCCACAGACTCTTATCAGCTTCTCAATTCAAATCGGTATCTTTACAGACAATTCAAATGCCGCTTTTTCAAGGCATGCTCTGTGCCGAAGAAGGGGACCCCCTGGATGCTGCTCGCCAGACACCGTGTTAAAAGCTGTTTCTAATTAAAAATTTTTTTCCCAAAACTCTGCTGCCTCCTTGATCAGGACACGCTTTCAGTCAACCTCCACTTGGGGGGGGGGGGAAACCTGTGATCTCTTTGCCATCCTAAAAAGGCATTAAGAATATCTTTCACAGTAAGAACCATTACTAGTGAGTACTCTACAAGGGAAATGAGCACCTCATTTTAGAAATCGAACTAATGACCCAATTACGTACGCTCACGTTTCTCTGAAATAGCTGGGCATTTAAACAAAATCAGCTCATCAGAGAAGCAAAGATGGAGACTCAGAGAAGTTTATCCAGCCTATAGGTTGGTTTCACAGCACCAAGCTCAGTCTCATCATACAGAGCATTTGAAGGAACAGGGATCATTTCTGGAACTAAGAAAGCATCTTAGGCTTATATGAAGTAACCACCGTTGTGGGTCTCTGGGTGCACGAGAAGGGGACGGAAGAAGAGAGGGAGGGGAAGAGAGAGAGAGAGAGAAAAAAGTTGTGTCAGTAGAGGGGAACACATTATACCAGACAAACACAATTATTGGGAACATACCCAGACAGGGAGTAACTTGGGCGGGTTCCCATGGTAGTAAATGTCGGCCTTCAGTGACATCCAAACTTCTAGAGGTTTAAGTCTTAGATTTCAACATATTGCGGGACACGACGTAAGCCATGTTTAGGTTCTGTGTTTCTGTTTCCGAGTACAAATTGTCTCGCCCTTGAATTGACCTTCAACCTACCAAGTACACACGTATTGGCAGGAAAAAGACACAGTTGGAATCATCACTCACTTAAAAAGTTTTACAGAAGGTTTATTAACACGGGGTTGATGAACGAAAATAGCAACGGCGTTTGTTGCATCTTTCTCCTCCTTTTTTCTTTAAAAAAGCAAGGTTCTTTGCTTTCCAGCCTCCAAGAGACCTTTGCTCAGGCGGTTCCCTAAAGGTGCTCCAGCATGGACCACTCCTGCTCACGTCATTAAAAGAGTCCCGGGGAGTCTCTGGCCCTCCTCCTCTCCAGGAAGGGCAGCCTCTGACAGACCATGCTGGCACCGAGGCCCGGTTTCCTCTTCACTCGGCAGCATTGGAGCCAGTATCTGGGAAATGGAAACGAGGACGCGGCATTAATGAAGGTGGAAGTGCAAAGGATTCCAGCCCCTACAAATCTCACAGTCAATCCAGGAAAGAAAACTGTCAGCTGACCCTCAAGGGAAAAAAAATCCTGGATCATGTGAACTAGAGGACCTGCAAGAACCCACAAGGATTCCAAGTGCCTCTTAAGACACACCAGAGACAGGGCTAGGGGGTGGCAAAGCAATTCAGAAGGGCAAGGTGACTGAGTGCTCTGCTAGGCTTTTCGCTCATGGCAGGAACCGGGGATTTGCGACACCTGCCACTTTAACGATATTCTTGAGTTCTTTACACAAACACTGTTCAGGAAACCAGAAAACCCACATTCAGAATTGTGCCAATGAAGTGTGTTTACTTTACAACATTTATAGTTCTGCCAAGATTCAGGCTTCCAAAAAAATCGAGAGCTGGGAGTGAGGGACGTGCGAAAAATATAACAGACAGAAGTATAGAAAGGTAGGCTACAGCTGGACAACAGCATAGGTGACGGACAGGCAGCCGTGAACTGCAAAGGGAAACACACATGGGGAAAAGATGAACTTTGGGGGGGGGCTTTCATATCCAGCCAACATAGCTTTTCTTTCCAACTGGTTTTTTGTGTGTGTGTGTGTGTAAAGAAAATGTTTCTGAAGTCCAAAATGCTCAGAACAGTACAGAAGGAGTATTGTTTGCTGTGCCAGTTAACTCAGAAATGAAATGCCCCAATCATGCCCTCGTTAATCCAGTGACCACATGCTGCATGTCAAAATGGACCCTGAGCTGCCTGCAGCTCCTTCTGCCTTCATTTTCTGGAGGAAAACCACACCCTTTGTGACAGCAGCTCACTGCAAGCCCTTTGGGGAGCCAATCTTGGTGGGCTGGTGAGGCACAAAGTAGGACAAATAAACGCTTGCCATCTGTTAAGTCAGAGGGAGTAGCATGTTATTTGCCTACAACTCTCGTGAGTCCCAGCCAACACAGACAAGGGTGGGGGATTTTGGGGAGTAGCAGTTGAAAAGCTTCCAAAGGGCCACTGTTGCCCTTTGGTCTGGAAATTAAGTAAATACAATCTCAGATGAAGAAGATGCAACGTATTACCCTAGAACATAAGAAGAGCCCTGCTGGATCAGGGGGAGTTGCAGTTGAAAAGCTTCCAAAGGGCCACCGTTGCCCATGCTGCAGGTCTGGAAATTAAGTAAATACAATCTGAGATGAAGAAGATGCAACGTATTACACTAGAACATAAGAAGAGCCCTGCTGGATCAGGTCAAGGGCCCCTCTAGTCTGTGGGTGATCATGGAACAAAGGAAGGCTAATTGCCTTAGAGAAAGAACAAAGGAGTCGATAGCGGATGTCTGAGCCAGCGGAGCCTACTGGCAATGTCCTGAGAGCTCCCTTTATTGACTTAGCATGGTTTACATAGTATGCTGTGTGTGTGAGAGAGGATACTAGTTACCTAATCATATTCAGGACTGGCTGAAATAACCCTTTGATCTTATGCGCTACCTCTAAGCAAAAGGGCAAAAAAAGGGGCTAACCCTGCCTGTGGGCAGCTGCCACTTCCAGCCGGGAGTGTATGCACGTCCCTGGAACAGAATGCAGCTACAATCTTCAAGCAAACGTTTCCCACATAGTCCAACTCCCTGTCTCTCCCAGTGGCCCTGCCAGATGCCTCTGGGAGCCCCCAACAGATACCTGTTCTCCTGATCCCCCTCCCCTGCATCTGGCATTTTGAAGTACCTTCCTTTTAAGACACTATTTAGACGCATTTTTGTAAAATAAACCATGACATGGCATAATATGTCGCATGCTGTTTGTCTGAGGTTGCACTTATCTAATATTCAGACCTGCTAAGGACCAGATGACACTATTTTGACTTATTTTTGTAAAATAAACCATGACATGGCGTAATATGTCACATGCTGTTTGTCTGAGGTTGCAGTTATCGAATATACAGACCTGCTAAGGGCCAGATGCTTTTTTATTACGTCCTGACATATAAAACCATAGCATTCAAAAGGGTATATATTCTTTTTCACATGATTGTACATTTTCCAGTTCTCATGCAAGACTTCCTTTAGAATCTTGTTTCTGTTTAGAGCTACAGTTTGCATATCCTTTTTTAAAAAAAGAATTAATTAAAAGCAGCACAGCTCTTCTGCATTTTGGTCTCAGCGTTTGCCAGCAGCCCCGAGTTCTAAACTTACTTTTGCCATCGCAGGCGACTATTTTCACTTTATCCACCTTCACGAGCTCTGTGACCTCTCGGAACTCGACGTCATTCAGCACAAAGGTCCAGACGTTGTCACAAAACCGGTACGTATTCAGAGAGCCCTTTTGGAAAGAGAAATAGAGGGAGAACCTATCTAAGCCGATGCAGGCAGAGGCGCTACGAAAAACCTCTCTCAATTGGCAAGGCTTGGACTCTGTGGACTTTAACCTATTTTCTCCCTTTCTATCTATCCCTCACTCATCCTGAAAAAGGATCGAATATACCGCCCCCCTGTGGAAGAGGAGGAAACAAACAGCAGCTTATAAATGGGAAATCTCAGAAGGATGGCAGTCTCTGCAGGTTGTTCATGACAGCAAAAACAACAAGAGTCTTCCCGAAGCCACAGGCCACACACCTTGAGTCCAGGAAAGCTTATGGAAAACACGAAGCGTAATATCTTTAAGGTGCCACAAGGCTCCCCAATAGGTTTGCTGCGATACAAACTGGAGAACAGGACGAGGCCCAAGTCAGGCTCAAAAGCACCACCAGACAGAATGTTTCCATCACGGTTCATCTGCTTTAGGGGGGTCTGCATGCTCTTCCAGGCTTCTCTTTCCCTGCCTCTCTCTCTCTCTTCCTGTTCGCGGCTGTCTGGCTCACCTCTTTCAACGAAGGCAGGGAGCAGAGCTAGGCTTTTCAGTGCTTCTAAGGTTATACATCTTCAGCCTTTTTCTGGTAAAAGGACTAATCAGCCAACCAAACTGCCCTGCTGCTAGGCATCAGCTGTGTTTCATTTTATGAATGGAGTGTGTGTGTGGGGGGAACTTGGCCAGCCAAGCCAGGCTGCCAAACAGGTGAGGTTTAATAGCATAATATTCTGAACTATGGAATAGCCTCTCAAGAAAAGGCTGCAAGGACTGTGCTCTCCCCCTGCTATCTACTTTTGAAGAGGCCACACGGGTTTTTCTACTCCCTCCACCATCTCACATTTTCCCCCGCTGCTGGAATCTTGGTGGTTTTAATGGTGCCGTTCCTTTTTTGTGTGCTGTTGTCCACCGGGATTTTAGATTTTTATCAGGGATGCAAAAGAAGCATCCAAAACTAAAAATAAAGTAAAATAAACCGCAGGACATTCTGCTCTGGGGTAGACAAAAAATATCTAGCCTTAACTGGCTTTCTCCAACCTGGTGGTGCCCCTTCCCCTATGCATCAGACGATGACTCCCCTCATGCCCTGCAGCACCTCTCAACCATTAACACACATTTTAAACCTTCCTTTTAATTGTGAAGGTTAGGATGCCCTGCAAAAGGGGGGTGACCTGACAAGACCCAGGAAGGCCTGCACCAAAGACAACAGTTCTGGCTTCTGAAACCCCAGCCCTTCTGCTGCCCATATCCTAGAAAAATCGCAGCACACAGCTAGCATATACCTTGTTTCCTCAACTAAACTGCACTCCTGCAATCCTGCTGTATCTGTGTGTGATTGTTTTAAGAAACAAGGCATGACTTCTCCATGCGGCATATTGTTTTGCTGAGATTTGGGCAGCCGGGGCCACAGAAGCACTCTGGAGACCAGGATCTGCACCCGGAATGTGGGTCTCTCCCTGCGACCCCCGACGTGTTTGGATGAAAAGCGATGAAGGAGGGAGACGGAGACGGACTCAACGCTCCTAAGCCAGGAGGGGCTGCACCCCACAGACAAGGCATCTGGGGCTTCTAATTAGCCTTTACCTTTTCTTACCCTGAAATTGACTCTGTTCCTGACCCGTTGCGCCAAGGCCGAATTGATGGCTTTGTCAAACTGAAGCAGGACTTGGAGGGCCAGCTGAGGAGTGATCTGCTGAGACTGAAAGCAGAAGGCGTGGGAGGGAGAGACAAGAGGATGCAAGATAGTCAAGAGAGGCAGGCTCATCACTTCAGAATCTTTAAACTATAATTTTAGGTTTATTTATTCACATGCTATACTTGTGTGGTAGAAGCTTTGCGCACCCCCCACCCTGAACATTTAACCAGAACCAGGTATCACCCCCGCCTACAATTTAACAATGCGGCTAACCAGGGTTTCAATTTCTGTTTTCAACAGTGACTTGGTTTTTTCATCTAAAACACAATTTTTCAAATTCTACTGGTTGCAGTGAAATTACTGGGATCATCTTCCTTTACAAACAGCCCCTGATTCTCACACGGTTGTTATGATCCTTATTTACATCACCAAATATAGTATAGGAATACAAATGCATGGGGGGGGGAGAACAACATTATTCTCTTCACCCAGTGAGAGGCCAAAAGAGTGCTTTGGCTCGAAGCATTTTGTGTAGCTCATGCAATTGATGAAAGTTGCATAAACTCAATAAATTCCTATTTCTCCGAGTGGAATCTGTTTGTTCCTTTTTAAAATATTTGCACACTTATTGTTTTTAGCTGTAATATTGTCTTTCTATGATGTAAGCTGCCTTGGGTCCTTTTTAAAGGAGAAAGGTTGGGTAAAATATTTTAAATAAATAAATAAGTCACACAAAACCAAGGTATTTGCTACATTTCCTTTTACAAATTTAGAGGCAGTAGAGAGGTTGCTTGTATCTTTTTAAGCAATCAGCTGGTCATTCTGCACTTGCTATGTATCTCCCTTGCTTTTGAAAGGGAAAGGGCACTAGTGTTCCACAGAGAAAGTCTGCATAACATGACAGAGGCCGTGATGAGGAAAACCATCTTTCTCCCCATCTATAGATGAGACATTTCATGGAGCCAAAAAATTCTCGGTCAAGAGGGCTTAAATCAGCGGCCCCAGATGTTCTTGGACTACAACTATGAGAACCCTTCACTATGAGCTGCTCTGGCCAGGATTTCTGGGAGTTGTAGTCCAAGAGCATATGGGGACCCAAGGTGGAAGCAGGGAAGAAATAAACACTACATACTGAACCACTGACACACCAGTAGGATGTTCAGATTTACCAAAAAGACAAGGTGGGACCTGCATCTTACCTGTATGAGCTCATCCAGGCTTTCCTGAAGACTGTTCCCCAGAGTGGTGTTTCTATACAGTTGATAAGCCATGGTTCAGGAGAGTGAGAAAGCTGTGGGAGATCATCCACAGGTTGGAAACCACGCAGAGTTTCACCGAAGACCTAGGAAAACCAGTGTTACATTTATCCAACGAGCCTGGGAGGAAGGATGTTTGTAACTGCACAAATATCCTCATGTATATCAAGAGATGAGAAACATCACCATCCAAGCCAAAAAAATTTTTTTTTCTGCATTCATTGAAAGGACAGTTCATCACTATAATAATATAGGCTGTAAAAATGATTTAACAAACAAGATGGGCTCAAATCCTCCTGTTTGCTATTTACTCTTATAAAGTTTGGGTAGATAAACAGAGGGCAGTCCTTTTGAGGGATGGAGGAGAGCATAAATCTCCTAGCTAGGGTGGATAAAAACCAAGGACTTTTTTTAAAAAACAATAAATCAGTTTAAAGCACGATTTAAAGAACAATTTTGCCCACGATTTTAATTGCCACGCCAAAAAAAAATCACGATTTTCATCAAATTAAACTACGATTTGAATCACGATTTTTCATCGATTTAGATTACGATTTTAATAACCGCTTAAATCCAGGAAGAATTTAAATGAATCGTGGCTTCCCGCCCACCCGAGTGGACTCCAACCCGCCCTTCCAGCTGCTGAGGCTGAGGGGAAGGCCGGCTCCCTTCCCCTTCCCCTTCCCTTCCCTTCCTCCGGGTGACCGAGCCGCCCCCCCCTTTCTTCCCTCCTGGAGGCGGCCGTACCGGAGGGCCGAGGAGGAAGAGGCGGCGAGAAGGGGTGGTGGTGGTCGCAGGATTCCTCCTTCTCCTTCTCGTCTGCCGGGCTCTCCCCCCTCCTCGGTCCCCCCCCAAGCCCGGAAAGAGGAGGCGGAAAGGCGCCTCGGGGGCCGCTCCTGGGGAGGCTTGAGGCGGCGGGCGCTTCTCCTCAGAAAAACCCCTTCTTCCTCTTCCTTCCCCCCAACTAGCGGGCTTGACCCGGAAGCGGAAGCCTGCCGGGAGGGGGCGTGGCCACGGCGACGCTGCGTGCGGGGCACTCGCTGGGCAGCTTCCAACGGTGCCCGTCATGAAATACAGTAATAAAAGTTATTGTGAAAGAAATAAAGTTCCTTTGCAGATGATCCCCCCCTCCCCCTGGATGAAGAGGCGGTCGTTTCTAGCAAGGAAATCAAGGTTAAGACAAACATTAAGACAAACACTGAATTACAGTCATTTCTCTTTCTATAAAAACACTATTTATTGATTATGTTATAAACCAACATAAGGACATCATTTCTCCCCAAGTAAACACGGTTTGGAGGTGGGGGAAGTACTGTATAGTTGTGATTCGGCTGCTAACAAGTGAGACAAATGTTAAAAACAGGTGAAAATATATTTTTTTCCCCCCAAGTGTTTCTTTCAGCCAACCAGGTGTTTTGTTTTGGACACCACCTACTATAAATCAACTTCTCTGATGTCTGACTCACAGGAATTAGTGCTTATGAAAAACCCACAAGGACACATTCACCAAAGACAAAAGAGCAATTCAGATATCAGAGGACAGTGACACATTTCTGCTCACAGGTGAAGGAGCTTGGACAAACAATTCCCCCCCCCCCAAAAAAAAATATATTTTAAAGAGACTTCTCTTTAAAAAAGTGTTTAAAGTGAATTTAGTGCTTGTGAAAGGTGCTGGGTCAAAATGGTAGGCTACAAGAATTTTTCTGGTTGCAAAACTTCAGTGCTACTGTATACTATCCCCCCCGTTACTAGCTAAGAATGAGAGTTTCACCAGAACGCATGACTGCAAAAAGAACAGCCCTGGGTCAATTTTTCTACCTCATCCACGTTCTCTATTACCACTATCTCGGGCATCTCTCTCCCAACTTCTGGTGGACAGGTATACCCAGAGAAGGACAACAAGAGATGAAACAAAGTGTACAGTGTGGGTGGGGGTGTCGTTTTGCCAGAAGCCCCAGTTTTCTGCTAACGGAGAAGTAATCTCCATCCTGAAACGGAGGCACATATGGCTCAAACGGTAGCTAACATAGGCTAGTACGGTTCTGTCTGAACCCTAGGCACTTGGCGTGTGTAGAGCTAAACATTAAAGAAAGGCTTTAAAAAATTATTTTCCCCTTACTTGAATCCTGATGGAAAGAACGGCTGACCTGAAATTTAAAAAGCAAAGATTTGAACAGAATCCACTCTGCCAGAAAACACCTTTCCAATCAGGACATCCAAGTATTTGGTAGATTCCTCTGTGGGAAACAGCAAAGAAACTTTTTCAGTTCATAACAAGGCGGCTGATTAAATCTTGCTAGCAATAGTTCTATTTCATTTGCTGCTTAGCCTAGAAGTGTTCAACCATTTCTAAGAAATTGGCATGCACTTTATTACCGGATAAACGACAGAGGTCATTTATGGCCTGGTCTACCTGTGAGGGTTTTTGCAGATAAACATTATAAAATATTGCTTTGAAAAGGCATAAAAATATATATATATATTATCTCTTTCCTTAACATTTAAGCATATAAATACATAATGAATAAGCATCATTTAGGATAAAAAAAACCATAGGTGCCTCCTATGACACTTTGCGACACTGCAGTATAAAACAATTACAAGAAAGGCAGCTGTTAAGGGTGTCAACAGCTAGCCTAGGCCAGCACAAAACCCATTCAGCAGCAGAGAGTCCGTTGGGCAAGAAGTCCAGAGGGCGGGCTCCTCCTCCGAATAGGCTCCGATCAACGCAAGACGTCATTCCGTTGGCACAACCTTCAGTCTTGTCTCGAATCCAAACACGGGAGAACCTTCTATGGTTCCGTCTTCTGCTCCTGTTTTCCATTCAGTTCCTGGTCAATTCTGTTCATCGGAAAGGGGATGGGGGAATAAAACACCCAAAAAAACCCTAAACTTTTTGTGCCATGGTTAAAGTTATGTTATTAACCAGGAGGGGGGGGGGAAGGAAATCATTTTTCCCTTAGCAAGTTGCGATGAAACTGTTAACGCAGATAGAGGAGCATGTTTCCCCTACAAAGAACTGCGAGTTAGAACTTGTAAGGTGGACAGAAGGTGGACTTGCTGAACAACGCGGGGTTAAGATGAACATGGAAACACGCAACACACACACACACAGAAAAGGTATAGCCTCTTTCATGTATGCACAGTTTATCCAGACAGAGCCACACAGCATGGGCACCACACAGAACTAAGGCGAGGCACCTCCTAATGAAATCTCTAGACCATTGTGTATATTTGTTATGGACAGCCCAGTGCTTTAGGTCTCTGGTTGAAGAGCCAGAGGTTGGGAGTTTGATTCCCCCACGGTGTGCCTCCAGGGAGAAGAGCCAGCCTGGGTGGCCTTGGGCAAGCTGCACAGTCCCAGGGATCCCCTCCCCCCTCCCCAGAAGAAGGGAATGGAAATCAACTTCTGGGTATTCTCTACCTGGAAAGGTTGCTGTTGGGTCGGAATTGACTTGAGGGCACATAATTATAATGGCATCTCCATAAGTTGACTTTTCACACACCTAACATCTGTACCTCTATGGCATGCACTGACCAGGGAGGTCCCCATATGTAGACTTAGTCGCCCATGTATCATGACCACCACGTAATGGGTGAAATCACCCTTGCAACTCAGGACCAGCATTCTTCCCTGGGACCCTGGGAGAGGTGCACCACCTGCAAGGCAACACCACCAGGAAGCCTGTGCCTTGTTCTTGCATAGAGCTGTCATTCCTGGAGAGCCCCAGGACCACCACCCCCACAGCAAGAAGGAAGGGAGCCGTGGGCGGCCCCACATCTTGGCATCTCCTAGACTAGGTATTTTGGCTGCCACACAAACTACCTTTGGTGTTCAATTCTGCACCAGGGCTGATGGAGGTGAAACACAGCTGATTCCCTTGTAACCCGGGCATGCACAGGCAGCCTCTGGCCACAGGAGCTGAATTTCACTTCACACACACTCGGGTGCTTCAGCACATCCTGATCAAAAGAAGCCAAGGCAAAAAGCAAGCAGCTCATGCTGGGGGAAGCCGTCCGGCCAGAGGTTTGCCAGGGTCCTAAGCGGGGCAGATCTCTCACCCGAGACTCTGAACTGGCACAGAGCTTCTTCCGAGACATGTTTCATGCTTCTGAATTTTAAGAGGCAAGCGAAAGGAGCATGGCTGTTAGTTTGAAGATGAACTCCAGCTAAGTGAAATCTTCTGTTTGAGTTGTGTCAAGTAGAAAAACACCAGCAGGCTGTTGAAACATCAACACATACTCTACACTTGCCAAAGTAAAAGGGACCTAAAGACTTTCTTCCAGTCTTTTGTTATTTCTTTGCCAGCTCTTAAACCATCTCTTCCGGCATTAAGTTTTTAAAGACTGGGGTCAGAATCCAATCACTGATTTATGCTCGCAGAAGTGAAATGTTGGAAGTTGAGGTGGCCAAGGGGTCCCGAATGGACAAGGTGCCTGTTGTCTTTCTCGGCAGGCGTCCAGTAGCCAAGAAGCTACTACAAGTGCTAGAAATGAAGTGTAAAACTGGGAATTGGATTTGGGCCATAAAATAAGAGTTTGGGGATTCTTAAAAAAAAACAACCTGACAGAACTGAAGAGGCAGCTCAATGTGAAGTTCATCCCATTTTGCATGGCTAACTTTTTGTTTAGCTGTTAAGAACACTTGTTCTCAAAGCAAGAATATGTCTAAGAGCTTGGTTGTATAAATTCCTTGTATGCGGAACTTGATTAAACATGGAAGTACATAACCCCATGTAGAAGCTTCACAAGCTGAAGTGAGCTGCACGGCTCAGTGGGATAGGCTGCAGAGCCAGCGGTTGGGAGTTCAAGTCCCCGCTCTGCCTCCTGGACTCGATGATCCACAGGGTCCCTTCCAGCTCTGCAGGTCAAAGATTATTAGGCACAAGCCCTTAGCGGAGTGGTTTAGGCATCTGGCTGCAGAGCCAGAGGCTGGGAGGCTGGGTTCCACACTCTGTGCCTCCTGAGAGTAGAGCCAGCCTGGGTGGCCTTGGTCAAACTGCACAGTCCCAGGGATCCCCCCATCCCACCCCAGAAAAAAGGAATGGGAAACCCACTTCTGAGTACTCTCTACCTAGAAAACCTTGGAAAGGGGCGCCATAAGTCAGAATTGACTTCATGGCACATGATTATTAAGCGTCACAAAGACCTCCAGGCAGTGCAGGCACCCTGCTCTCCAACATGTCTCCTTGCCTTCTACTATTTACTTGAAGGAAAAGCCATGTTTTGTGTGCCAGGGAGCAAACTGACCCTTCCCTCACAAGACCAACGATGACACCCAACCACAGGTATTTTGAGAAAGTTAGGCAAAACGGGCACACTCTGGCGCGAGTGAACTTGTTAGCAGCGACAGCAGTTGGAAGATCTGGAGTGCGGAATATTGCCGAGGCAGGTGAGCGGGACACATCCCGAAAGCGCCAGGCATGCATAGATGGGGAAAAGGGGGGGAGGAAATGCAGACAGCACAAAGAATTGAGAAAAGCTCCTCAGACAGTCTGGACTGCGGATGTGCAAATTAAAAGAGTTTTTAAACTTTAGTGACCGCTGAGTCAGTCAATCTCGAGCTGAGGAAGTTTTCTGTAGCCATTGTTATCCATGTTACGGGCTGGGTGGGTATTTAAAGCCCTGTCGTTTTAGGTTTAAAGTTTAGTGCTATAAATTCGACAGCAGGTGTTTTTGCATTTTGCGACTCAGTTTCCTTCAGAGAAACTAACTCCTTCTGCAAGGCCAGTGATGGGAAACCCCGGGGCATCAGCTACCTGGATACATGCGCCAGATCTTGCAAGAGGCATGCTTCCATTCACTCATGCTGTATGCATTCCAGAGAGCCAAACCCACCCCAACAGACAGCACCCAGCAGACTTGGCAAGATTAGAGAAAGCCCTGATCAAGATGTGCATAATACCTTTTAGGTTTCTTTTTAAATTTTTCTTCTTCATACCTTTAGTGGGGAAAATGTGATTTTAGTAAACAAGATGCACGGATATATTAGCAAACCCCAAACAGTTCTGAAGCCCAACAGCTAACAGCATCTCTTCAACCAAAGTGTTCCAATATCAACAACAGTTAAAAACCAAGATGAACAGAAGCAAGAGGATTTAATTCCTGTGCAGTAAGGAAACATTCTTTAACGTGAGCTTTCATGGACAAACCCACTTCATGAGACATAAGAGAGAGATACAACAATAGGGTTGTATCTTCTTTGCATCATGAGACATAAGAGAAAGAGACACAACAATAGGGTTGTATCTTCTTTGCATCTGATGAAGTGGGCTTGTCCACAAAAGCTCACATTAAAGAATATAAAAGTTAATTCTTTAAAGTGCCATCATTTTTTTTCTTACTCTTTATTTTTACTTTGTTTTCACCTATTTAAAGTGCCATCATTTTTTTTTCTTATTCTTTATTTTTACTTTTTTTTCACCTATAATATTTGCACAGACTAACCCAGCTGCCCCTTCTACAACTACATAATTTGGAAGTGGCTGCACAGACTAATCCGGCTGCTCCTTCTACAACTACATAATTTGGAAGTGGCTTGATAGCACAGGATAACAAATTATGCCTTAGACTCTCACAGACTGAAATACACCAGCCAATTCCTAGGACCCTCATAAATTTATCTACTCTAGCAGCCCACCCCAAAAGCACATGAATCTGATTCAGGGAGCTCATCAGGGCTGGGCTTGGCCAGCAGATGACTGGAAGACCACTGGGCTTCTCCAGATAGGGCTAGGAAAGGATGCAGGTAGGATTGGATATATAGTATAGCAAAATGCAGTCAAGACATTGCTGCCAGTCAGAATTGACAATACAGTGGTGCCTCGCTTAACGAGCGCACTGTTTAAAGATGAATCCGCATAGCGACACGTTTTTTGCGATCGCATTGCGATGTTTAGATAGGCCAAAAATCGTACTGCGATGATCTCTGCCAAGGCAGAGATGAAACATGCCAACACAGGTTTTTTAAAAAAATCAAACCCATATATATCCCTCGTCATTTTACTTACAAACTGCTTTCGCAGTTTTTTTGTTTTGGAAAAACTAATAGGCATAAGCAAATAGGAAGATGTCCCACAAACCAAAGAGGAGACATTTACAGTTCTCCAAAACAGGCAATGTAGGTGTTATTCCAGGTTCATGAACTAGTAAGCGACCTACTGTTTTATGCATTCGGGGATGCCAACATACTCCATGGGGATCAGTTCGGCCAACTCCGCCAAAGTGAAGACATACCTGATTTTTTGGCTGAATTTTGAGCTATAAGCTCAATGGACCAAGGACCTGGCTCCATATAAAGCAGCTTCCTATGTGCCTGGAGGAAACTGTACGACCAAAATCTACCCCTTAAACTGCAGCAGTGCCTTTATTTTGTGCCGCACCATGTCTAACCCTCTCCTCTCTTACTAAGTATCCCTCAGGGCCAAGGCAGAGATGAAACGTGCCAACACAGGTTTTTTTAAAAAAATCAAACCCATATATATCCCTCGTCATTTTACTTACAAACTGCTTTCGCAGTTTTTTTGTTTTGGAAAAACTAATAGGCATAAGCAAATAGGAAGATGTCCCACAAACCAAAGAGGAGACATTTACAGTTCTCCAAAACAGGCAATGTAGGTGTTATTCCAGGTTCATGAACTAGTAAGCGACCTACTGTTTTATGCATTCGGGGATGCCAACATACTCCATGGGGATCAGTTCGGCCAACTCCGCCAAAGTGAAGACATACCTGATTTTTTGGCTGAATTTTGAGCTAGAAGAGACATAAAAACAAAGTTACTGCTGGAATGCTAAATGCAACAATGCTTTTATTTAAGAACATGGAAAGAAATAGGCCAAGAGTGTTACCTAATAAAAGGTTTTGTGATTGCCAGAAGCGTTCTAATGAACCAGGAAGGGTGGACTATGATTAAAGATTTCAGGTTTTTCCTTAACCTAAAGTTAAACCAAAGCATGAAAGAGTGGTTAGCAACAGAAACAAGGCACGTATCCACACTGGTCTTCAGCAGACGTTAAAGATTTACAGCTGCTTGCCACTGCACTACTGGTTCACGTAAACTAGACTGAACGCTCAACAAGCTTTAGATCAGCAGCTCCTATTAGACAGGGACTAGACAGCCGGATCCAGGTTCTACTCAGAGGATTTCAAGAGAGAACAAAGTGGAGCGTGTCCCTCCTACTGGCTGAGACACAAAATCTGGTCACGCTCCCTGCACAGGAAGACGAGGAAGCAGAAACATAAAAGCGGTGCAACTCTGGGAGAAAGGCAGAGGCAGGAATACCCTTTGCATCCTCAGCCGTCTTGTTCATTCCTCGGCCACTGCAGAACAGTACTGGGTCAGGCTCCTACTTGAAGCCCTAGGGAGGTACTGGCCATCAGGACTGACAATATGTCAACAACACTAGACTGCATGGACCAATGGTATGACTTTGTGCAAGTCAGCCGTTCTCTGGCGTAAATTCTAAAATGTTTTAAACTCTTGTTTTTACACTACGGACAAGAAAAATCGTTTTCATAGAGGCAACATGGCAAATTGGGTATTTTTCTATTTTCCCGTGGTCGCACTATGTTCAGCAAGATTATTTTGGAACAGAAAAAAAAAATCACACCAGAGGAGAAAACAGACCACTTCTTGCCACTTGGCAAAATCGCCAAACTACACTTTAAAGCACTCTGGAGTGTCCACCATAGTGGACGGCGTGCCCGTATTTCCTACAAGTTAGAGGTCTTGCATTTCTTCTTAGCCTTACCTCCTATCAATCTGCTGGTAACACTTCCTGAGCCAGCCTAGACTGGGCATTTTCCTCCGTGTCGTTGCACCGTTTAGATAAACAATCATGTAGTTTTCAGCGACTAATAATTCTAGTGTGCCAATAACATATCTGCAGGGAGAGAGAAAGATAACGACAGCATCTGTTTATTCTCTTTCCTTTACATTTCTTTGTCACCACCATGTAATACCAAACCCCAGGTTACACGGAAGGAAAGGTCCAACTGTGTAGAAGGCAAGTTCAAAGGCTCAAGCAGTGTTACTTACTTAAACAAATTATCCATCAAGTATCTGTAGTTTGGTTGACCGCCTTCTGGCATAAAGCAGACTGCAAAGACAACAATTGCATTTAACCCATCACCGTAATAACCTATAGGTAAAGAAGAAAACAGAGCCGGGGGGGGGGGG